GCTAAATAGGTTTTTGCCAAGTGAAAATGCATGGGGGAGTAGAATAAAAGTCACCGATTCTTCGCCGCTGCAACAGTTTTTGTATTTTTTTCCGGTTCTCCTTTTCCTCTCAGTACTCAGTCTCACAGCCTGTGAAAGCCAGACTAAGAGCAACATGATTATTGTAGAAAATTTTGTGGAAAAAGCTTTCAGGCTCATATATGGGCGTTGCTACGATCCCACCACCACCGAAGACCCCGAATCACTTGGCCCCCATGTCGTCTCCGCCCTTGATTTGGGTGTTCCTGCTATTGCCCATGATCTCTCTTACTTTGATACCACCTTCCAGGTATTTTCTGCTGAGATCCAATCCTGGGTTTTGTTTTGCTTGCCTTTTCTATTAGCTTGCAGTGAGCTAAACAAGAAATGTAGTTGGGTGAATTCATTAAACCACCATTAATTGTTTAGGTTCCCGAAGGGCTCAGTAGGCATGTTGTGTCATCCATGGAGGTTCAGGCTAACTGGTATCGGAATTTGTTAACCTATTTGCCTATTTTTTAAAATTAATTTCAAGTTATTAAGTGGGTTTTCTCATATCCATTTTGATGAATGAAAAAATAGTTTGATATGCACAATTTTTGGGTTTTGTGTTCTGTATAAATATTGACAACAAATAAAGGTATAGAGAGCTGCTAGAGGCATGGGAAGAAGCAACATCCCCACCCAAAACAAGAGAAGAAGCTGCTAGGCTTGTCATCAAGACCTTGAAGGGGGATGAACAGGCAGATGTTGAGGTAAAAGTAAAACAAATTGAGAAATTGAGCTGTTTGTGTGTAGGAAGAAGTGATTAATGCGTTTCAGATTGTTCTGTATTTTGATTGATGTGTGTAGGGATTATTGGCATTCTATGGTCTGCCCCATCCACTCCCTCCACCCCCTCCTCCCCCTCCTCCTACTCTCATCCAAGTTTCAGCTGAAAGTCCATCATCATTGCCTTACGGAATTCAGTTCGAGCTGCATACATTACCTGTTAGAATTCTATCTCTGTTCTTAATTCAATTGTAGTATTATGCAGGCAACTGGGTAATGAGTTTCATGCTGAAAAATACTCTGATGAAATAATCAGGTCGATGCAAAAGATGTTGGAGATGGGGATGGGATGACAGTTTACGTGAGCACAGCTGATCCCCAGGAGTCAAAAAGCATACCTAGAGAGGTATTACTGGCAGTTGATCAGAGATTAGAGGTGCGTGGCCGGAAGTATTCTAAAAGGGCAGATGCACTTCACCGGCAGATTATTAATTCAGGATACAGGTTGCTCTTGCCCCTATCCTCTTCTTCTGGCAAACTATTTCTGAATAAATGAATTTTGTTTTGTTTTTAATTGATACCATTCTTGTTAACAGATTCATTAATCATCAAAATGGGGAGATCCTTGCTCGAAAATATCGCATTCGTCTAAGGTAATTCATCTGTTTAATGGGATTTCAACCTTAAATATGCTGGTGCAATGGCTAATGGTTGGTCGTATTGAATAGGGGTATAGATGCACCGGAGATGTCAATGCCTTTTGGGAATGAGGCAAAAGATGAGCTGGTTAAGCTTGTTCGGGACAGGTGTTTGAGAGTGCTGGTCTATGAGATAGATCAATATGGGCGCATTATTGCTGATGTATTCTGTGATGGCATATTTGTGCAGGTACTATTGTATTTATCATTGTTTGTGGAATATGTAATCACAGCCACCAAGTAGTTAATGTACTCTTTCCATCTAACAGGAAGTAATGCTCAAGAAGGGGTTTGCTTGGCATCACAAAGCCTTTGATCAACGTCTGGAATTGGCTACTGTGAGTATCTGACCATCCTTAATCATTCATGATTCATGAAGTTGGTTTGGTTGATTCTTAATCTTTGCATTTGTTTACCATGCTAGTGGGAAAAGGAGGCTATGGGAAAGCAAGTTGGCTTGTGGGCTTCACCAAACCCTGAGAAGCCATGGGAATGGAAGAAAAAGAATAGGAGAGAAGAGAAGGCATCAATATTATCCTGATGGAAGATAAATAATAGCAGGATAGAGGAAGAGAAAGAAAAGTGGTCTCATTTGTGAAATTAATAAAAATTAGTATTGTAAAGTATGCATTGACAAAACACTTATTGTAATGTATGGATTTGTCTACTCGGGAGTGTGCTAATAGTTAAGAGCCTGAGTAGAACAGCTTGAAGAAAAACCACTGGACTTGTCATGGATAATGTTCAAAGCAATGAGATGACACGGACACATTTAGGTTGTCTGTTTTAGGTTCTAGTTTATCTATCCCGTTACATGTTTCTTCTAGCTTCATTTTACAAAATCCCAATCTCTTCTAAGGTATGTTTATTTAGGAAAAATTGTTGCACAGTCCAGATTACAAAATAAGAACCCATCTATTTAGTACCAAAATCACCTCTTTTTCGTTTTTCGGCCAGTCGCAAGTTGAATGAAAGTCCTTACAATTTATAATTGTTTGACAACGAAACCAACGATTTATTAGTAAGGTTACATCTACAATGGGTGGGATTGTAAATTAAATTTGATTTCAAAACCATGGATTTAGATAATTAGATTAGGGTTAAAACCCCATTTTGATCCCTTTATTTTGGAAAAAAGTTTTTGCATAGTTCCTCTACTTAAAAAAATCTTGATCCCTAAAATTTGAAATCTTGTCCTTTTTAATTCTTTTATTAAATTTTGCATACGTGACACGTTAAATGACAGATATTCTAAAGTAAAGAGGTAAAAAAAGAGTTTTTTTTTTAACTCTTTGTCCCTCAATTTTAATAAAAAGTATATTTTTAGTTTCTTTATTTTTTAAAAAAGCCTTTTTTTACCCTCTTTATTTTGGAATTTCTATTAAAATAATGTGCCACAAAATAAAAACTTAATGGAGGGATTAAAAAAGAGTCAAATTTCAAATTTTAAAAACCAAAAATGGACTTTTTAAGTAGAAGGATTTAAAAAGAACTTTTTGTCAAAATAGAGGGACAAATTAAGATTTTAACCTTAGATTAGGCAAGGCAGCATCTTAATTAATCTTTATGCTTCAAATCTTCCCCCATCTTTTCATATGGTCAATCCTTCTCCATCTTATTTATACAAATTAACGAATTCAATTTTATTTTCTTCACTTCCAAAACATCAATGACGTTGCTTTCTGTAAAATAAATAAGATCTCCTAATTCAGTCAATATCTCTCTACTCTTTTTTTTATTCTTTTGTCAATTATCCGACGAATTTGTTGAAAACTTTCAACAATGTTGTCAATTTTTACTCTCTCTCCCAACCCGTAATGTCTTGTTCATCTATAAAAGATCTCTGAGTCAAAGATTTTTTTCTAAAGTTACTTCCGAGCAGATGTTAGGCACTCACCACATACTTCCTGTAATCCGTGTTCAAATTTTTTTTTTTCCAACAAAAATATATGTTGTGGTTTATTGTCTCATAGTCATTTAGCTCCGATAATTTGTACACGTGATTATAATATCAAATTATTAAATGTATATTAATTCATATAAATAATGATATGATAATTACAGGTTCATATTATAAAAAAATTATTGTATAATTTAAAGTATATAATAAA